GCCGCCCTGATGGTTGACGTAAGCCACGGCCGTGGCGTTGTCTGACTGAACCCGGACCGGCCGTCCCTGAAGACGGTCCGTCCAGTGAAGAAGGGAGAGACGGATCGCCCGAAGTTCCAGCACGTTGATCGAAAGCCGAGATTCCTCCGACGACCAACGGCCCTGAGCCGTCCAGACGTCCAGGACGCCCCCCCAGCCCAACAGGCTGGCATCCGTGGTGACCACCGTCCAGTGAATGGGAAGGAAGGACTGGGAAGTCCCAACACCAGGGACGGAGACCGAAGCCACCAGACCAGGGAGGCCCTCGCCTCCCGAGTCCAGCGAGTTAATCGAGGATATTGTAATTGGGGAGTCATTGGGTAATAGTGATCACAATGTGATTACTTTTAATATTGAACACAGAAAAGGGAAGTGTACTGGAAGGACTAGAAACCAGGGGCGTTCGGCGGCCTGGGAAGGCGGCGGTCTGTTGAACTTCCCACCCTTCTCAGAGGGTGGAGGCGGACGAAAAAGCCGCTTGTGAGCAGAAAAGGAAGGACCGGGCTTCCGCCGCTGTTCCCTAGGCTTTTTAGATTGAGGTAGGAAGGTACTCTTACCGCCTGTCAAATCCTTAATGATCTCATCCAAGGTAGTCCCGAACAGACGCTCCCCCGTAAAGGGGAGCTCCGTCAGAGCCTTCTTGGAAGCCTGGTCAGCCGACCAGCATTTAAGCCAGAGGAGGCGCCGAAGAGTAACCGCTGACACAGACAGCTTGGAAACCAACGATGCCGCATCCAAGGCCGAATTACACAGGTATTGCAGACCCTGCACCACATGTCAAGCAGCTGCGCAGGGAACATTGAAGATCCAGGTGCACAGTCGCGGCGCCAGAAGCCTTTGGGGAGTACTTTGACTGGGTGGCCGAGACCCCCAGACATATGCACCCCCCTGGGACGAACCCATAGGCCACCCCGCCAGAGCGGGATCGTCACAGCCGACCCACCGGAGCGGGCCTGCATGCGATCGTCGGTCGTCCCGGGGAGACTCCAAGGATCCGAGACATCCAGCCTGTCGCCCGGACAACACATGCTAGAAGATTCCACTGAAAAAGATCAGGAAGAAGCAGGTCAGAATACCCCAAAAAAATTCTTAGCTCCTTACTCCTGACACTGGGCAAAAAACTGGAGACTTGTCAGCAGGTGGGGGGTTTTGGCCACCGGCAGGGGCCGCCCCTAGGCTGTAATTGGTCTTTAGTTTTGTGCCTAGTGTCCTTCTCCTGCAGGTGGCGATATTACCCTACAGTACAGGATCTCCGATCTGTTCCCTGTATCCTATAATGAACGGGAGAGAAAAATACTATATAACTACACAAGCCCTTAAAATAATAATAATAAAAAATAATCAGAGTAAATAACACAGATGTCAAAATGTGGGTCTGCAAAACTTGTTAATGGATACAGACATACATAAAACAAGTAGATTATTATGGGTTCTGTCTACCCCTTTGAGACAAAAGTTTGTTCATATTAAGTGTGTGTGTGTTATTTCACTTTGATGTTGTTTCAAAGAATAATTCAGTAATCATAAGACCCATATAATGCTATATGTGCCCTCCTCACCTGCCCGTACATAAATTAGTCATTAGGTTTGAAGGAGAGGAGCCATTTACACCCTCACCCTTAGCAGGGATGCTTGCTGATAAGTTGAGTTATAAGAAGTCAAGATTTGCATAAAAATTTCAAATGTGTTTTTTCTTTGGCTCTAAGGATTATTTTGACATGGTTTCTAATACAGCATTTCACTTTAAAATATTTTAACTATTGCTCATTTTTAAAATCCAAATTCACCCACAGGTGAAAATGTTTTGTGTCCTTGATGGCAGGGGTGAATCACATGCTGGCCTTTTATATTGCTTGTGGACTCCAGTGGAGACAGATTTTCACAAGAATTTCTAGTTTTGCCCAGAAGTCAAATGATGGTACACTACACCCAAAGGATTCTACATAAAAAATGCAAAATAAAGAATATGGGAAGTTCAAGCGGCTAAACTGTGACCTTTCGTTATGACACAGGAAGGGTAGAAACCTGTTTTTTGGGAGTCTAGGAGAAATACGCAAAGCTGTTGGTTAATTCAACTCAACAGTTAGTTCCCTACATTTTGCTTTAAGTTTTACATCTGTTTTAGGTGCTGACAGAACTATTACTATATTTGCTAGCAAATACTTGAGTGATAAACAGATTGTCCAGGTAGTGGCAGTCTTGAAAAAAGTTATTAAGAAATCAGAAAACAATGAAGTGCATGAATAAGGAATATGTCTGAAGTATTTTACTTTATGAAGAGATGTTCTCTCCACCAGCTGAAAAGGTGCGGGGTCAATCTTGCAGTTGTTGAAATTGATAGTTTCATCCAGCTGTTGTTCTTCCCACTGTAAAATCTGAGAGAGACCAGAGACATTTTGTAAGTTTTCTAGCAACCTGTACTGCACATGCACTTATTGTCACCTTCATCTATGACAAGGGTCAGACTTTACAGCATTTATTTGAGGTTTAGAAGCCAAAATACATGACAGTAACACTAATTATATCAAAATACAATAGCCCTAGCAAGTGATTATGAGAGCTTGAAAGCTAAAGGAAAAAAATCTAAGTGTAAAATCTGTGGTCAGGAGCAAGGCTTTAGCCAATCAGGGCTTCACAAGGCACTCCGCTGTGCCTTGTGGGGCGTTCGGCGGGTGAATAGCCCGCTGAACGCCCTGATAGTTCGCCGGACACACGAACTAGCGATGTTCAAGTCGAACTCTTGGTCGACTCGAACATCGAGCCCAACACTACTCCCGCCCCATTCGGCATCCTGAGAGCTTCTCTCCTCCCTGTAGGGCGCCAGCAGCTGGATCCTCCGTGTCTCCTCGGATCCCCACTGCCTCTGCCGACACAGGCAGGGGAGAACAGCATTGGATGCACTGAATTTTCGGCCGTTATGGCACTATTAGAATTTTGCCCATAGTACCATTTTTGGCTGAAATATTTTGACGGCTGAAATTTCCGTGCATCCCTACTAGTCACTGATGTCCACGTCAATCTACCTACATCTTGTACAAATGTAACATACACTATATGGCCCCCCAAAAAGGTCATGCACAAAAAAATACATGCATTCACCGTAGCATTGTTTTGATAAGCTTATGCAACATCATAACTTTTATTTCCGTAAAATTCCATTGATGGAAAAACCTGGTCATTATGTATGTTCAGGTAGGCAGCTGACCTCATTTTTGGGGCTATAACGTTGCTGAACCTAGAACCGACCAAATGAAGCAACCCTAGCTTCACACTGCCCTCACAGGCTTGTACGATAGGCATTAGGCATGGTGGGTGCATCACTTCATCTGCCAATCTTCTTACCCTCACAGGCCCATTACTCTGGAACAGGGTAATCTGGACTCATCAGACCACATGACCTTTTCCCATTGCTTCAGAGTCCAATCTCTATGCTCCATAGCAAATTGAAGCCTTTTTTTCCGATTTGCCTCACTGATGAGTGATTTTCTTACGGCTACTCAGCTGTTCAGTCCCAATCCTTTCAGTTCTCTTTGCATTGTGCAGGTGGAAATGCTTTTACTTTTACTATTAAACATAGTTCTAGTGTTAATTTTTTATGATATGATTTCCCCAAATGTTAAAGGTTTTAATAATGCGTTAGAGAGTTCTTAACCCAATGTTAGCAGTTTCAGCAATCTCCTTAGTTGTTTTCTTTGCTTGATGCAGGCCAATAATTTGACCTTTCTGAACAGAGATACAGCTTTTCCATGACCACAGAATATATATGTCTTCTGAGACGGTTGTTTAAGAAATGAGAAGTTACTCACTGCATCAGTTAGGGTTAAATAACGTGTTGCCAGATGAAACATATTAATCACTGCAGTACTTATCCAATGAAAGGCTCTTAGCTATTTTCTTAGTTAAATCTAAGTGCCTCCTCCTCTTTTTGGCCAGGCAGTGTATATTTGAGCAATGCTATATTATTCATGTAAGTTAGAATAATCATAACCTACAACATCAACACCCCCATTAAAGTAACGTAACCATGGCTAAAATATAGAACAGATAACTGAAATGTATTCCAGCTACACACACACACAATGTGCCATTGCTGTAAATACAAATAATATGAAAAACAATTAAAAGTTTTTTTTATGTGTCTTGGATACACCAACAGCAAGAACTCCATGTTATAATTCTTAATTCCTGTCCACTTGGGATATTTGCTTGTTGATCTCCTATTTCATTATCCTTGAGCTAAAATAAATAAAAAATTCAGCAAGGAGAGAGAGGCACCCTTTTCTATGGCTGGCAGTTGACAGACCCAGAAATGTAAGCCTGCATATCTCAACAAGAGATTTTAGAATCGCTCAGGATATTAAGTCTCAGCTCAACAGCTACAAAAAAATTAAAACCTCAGTTTTGTGTGGAGACCCTCTTATTACTCATACTACTTATACGATCTTCCTTAAAAATTATATCTCTAGTAATTGTTGTTCTTTGAAATGTCCCTGTTTTTCATGACTGGACATCAGTCATAATAAAATTGCCAAGATTAATTTTAGATTCGTTGGCATTTGTTACCATTCACTTATATTAGATTTATCATCTATTACTGATCTCTGTTTCAGCATAGATGAATTAAGGCGCAGCATCTATAATGCAATAAAGGATTTCATTTCCAAACAATCATGGGCATTGGTCGTTTCCATTAAACTCTGACATAAACGATACTGTCTCTAAGTGTCCCCAGAAATGACTATAAAATACTGGCATTCATTCGATATGACACTGTCAGTGTGCGCCTCTTATAGGAAGTGGCATTTATGCAGAAAGGCGATTAAAATGTAAAACGGCTGCATAATCAGCTTCCAACATCAAAATGTATCTACTAGGATAATCATTGCAAGAATTAACTCTAGAATACAATAAAGTTTACTCATTTTGTTGAATAAAATGTACAATAGAAATCCTGTTTATTTTCATGGGACAGCTTCCACCTGCCAGGTTAATACCAGTCATCAATTGGGGCACTCACCTGTGATGGCGACATAACGTCTATCTCTTCCATATCTTCACCCTAAAGGACAATACAGGGCAATATTACAGTGTATGGTGACAGGCTAATTTAACAAGGCAGGGTAGTGAGGTTTATTTAATAAGGCAATATAAAGAGATAAAGAGCCATGGAATGCAGTGAGCCATAGCAATTAACAATTAATTGTCTGTTTTCTATGTGTTACTGCACTGTGCTTGCTGCTTCCTGACTTATTAAATAGGAACCTCAGTATATGTGTACATATATTTTCACCTGTATACAGTTTTGTGTCTACTTGTGTTGTACGTGAATGTTGCGCAAAACTTTCTTAAAGTGTGTGATATGTATGTGTGCGATAAATCTTTATGTACCGTTACAAGCTAGAATTGAGCCTAAAGCAAGGCGATCCTCTTCAGCCATGTCCAGGAGTTACGTTGTCCACAGAACCTGGCATGTCAAGAATGGAGGCGGGCTGGACACTGCACAGTGCATGCACAGAATGCAAAAAGGCGAGGAAAAGGCTTTTTGACAAAACCACCGTACATGTCTTTTCTGCCAAAAAAAAACAAACTACTTCCTGGTGATTTTGTCTTTGGGGGAATCTAGTTCTGCTTTAACCAATACAGTTTTCCCCTGGTTTACTGCAAGAGCATAAAGGTTGTAGCTGGGCCCCTTGAACATTCCCTGGGCCTTTAGGCTCCTGTCTAGGTTGCCTTGAGGATGATCCTGCTCTTGTTACAAGCAGGAACTGAATAAAAGCAAAGTAAGAAATAAGCCTGGGTGTCCTCTTCATATAGTGAAATAGCAATTCTGAACAGCTGATTAGGTAACTGTACCAGAAATTATATAGCATTAAAGACATTTTATAAAAATGGATATAATAAAATTGGGTTCTTCAAAACGTAACTGTTGCAGGCAAATCTTTGTATGTAATAAATAAGCCCAGCTGTTCCTTTGGAATTGTACTTCCGAACAGCTTAGATGAAGTACTCCTGAAAACAAAAACAGGACCTTCATCCCATGGCACTTTACACTACCTAGCAGACTGAGGTCAATTTCAGCAACAATAGAGTATACAGACTAGGGATGCAATTTTTTTCCAGACCGCGTACGAGTACCGATACTTTTCCTCAAGTACTCATTGATACCAATTACCGATACTTCTTTTTAGTGTCATGTGATAGTTTTCCTAAAACAATACAGAATAACGATTTCAGGACAGTGGTTAAGTGCCAGGGCCCGGTCCCAGCTGCAAACACTGCACCCCTGGTAGTTCTGCCACTGACTCCAAGATGTAGAGGGACTACAAATCTCAGAATACATTATATAGCAATGCAGAATACCACCCGCTATAGAGGACTAAAAATCCCAGCAATGCATTATACATCAATGCAGAATAATATGAAGCTACATACTCTGTGCTGGGGTCTTAGGAGGGCTGTGCAGGCTCTTAGGTGGCTTTGTATGTTCTATGGTGGGCTGTGCGAATGCTTAGGTGGCTATGTGGGGTCTATGGTGGGCTGTGCAAGCTCTTGCCAGGGGTCCCGGTTGGTCTTGGCAGGTGCCGGTGGAGTGGAGGAGATTTTTGGCTGGCGATTCACAGGAAGGCCCCCTGGGACCTCAGCAGCCTTCCTGTGAACAGCAGCGCCTATTTTCAGCGCTGGCTCCCGTTTAAAAATATCAACTGTCGGTATCGGCGCTTCCTATAAGGGTATTTAATTCCTATAAAAGTTGTGAAAATGCCCAGTATTGGCACCAGTACCGATACCGGTGCATTCCTAATACAGACTGTAAGAGAGCAAAGATATTTGCACTAAAAACAATGGTGCACTTTGAGTGAAGTGATATACTCAATGCACCCTATGTAAAGTGCACATAAGCCACTGCGTGCACGTTTGGAGCACACTGAAACACCTGTTGCACCATTATGGACAGTAGGTGGGAGTGTCAGGCCATTCACACTACTGCGTTGTGGCAGCATACATTAAATACTAGGGATACACTGATACAAGTATCAGTGAAAATGCCCCGAAATTAAAAGCCAATACCGACCCTTTAAACTTTTTTTATTGCTTTGGCTGCCGTAAGGTCCCGCGCTTGCTGGGTAACTCACAGCAGCCTTCTGCTGACCTTGCGGGACCTATATACAGCTCCGGCCTGTATATCTTCCACCTTCTGAGACTGACCACAGACCCGCAGACTCCATGCACGGTACATGTTATCTGACTGCAGAGCATTCCTCCTCATCCCAGCCATGGTACGTAATTTGACTGCAGAGCATTCCTCCTCATCCTTACAATGGTACATTATCTAAATGCAGAGCATTCCTCCTCATCCCAGCCACAGTACCATGTTATCTGACTGCAGAGCATTCCTCCTCATCCCAGCCACGGTACCATGTTATCTGACTGCGGAGCATTCCTCCTCATCCCAGGCATGGTACCATGTTATCTCACTGCAGAGATTTGTAGTCTTCTATAGCTGATGGTATTATTCCGCATTGCTGGGATTTAAAGTCTCTCTACAGCTTGGAGTCAGCGGCAAAACTGCCAAGGGCGCAGCATTTGCAACTGGGACCTGGTGTTCCACCACTATCGTAAAATCATTTACACGGTACCATGTTATCTGACTGCAGAGCATTCCTCCTCATCCCAGCCATGGTACTAAGTTATCTAACTGCAGAGATTTGTAATCCTCTATAGCTGATGGTATTATTCTGCATTGCTGTATAATGTATTGCTGAGATTTGAATTCCCTCTACAGCTTGGAGTCAGTGACAAAGCTAACTCCAAGGTAGCAAGCAGAATAAAATAAAATGGAAATGGAAAAAGAAAAAAAAGTTTACAAATTATGTGAAGTAATGTAAAAAAAAGAAAATATTTAAAAAAATGTTAAGACAAAAACCATAATAGACCCTTTAGGTCTGGTAAGAATGTTAGGCGGGACCCCAAGTTAAAAAAAAAAAAGCGTGGGTTCCCCCCAAAAGTCATACCAGGCCCTTTAGGTCTGGTAGGAATTTTAAGGAGGAATCCCACCCCCAAAAATGGGGGGGGG